CTATCCTGTAAATTTTAAGTATTATTGCTCATCTAACAGAGTTATCCTTAAGTTTGTGTAGCAATTTATCATTTGGTGTTTGACTACGGTAAGCCAGGCTGGATATCAACATGTGTGTTCAGCTGATGCAAAATTGCAGCGTTTAGGTTGGTCATATATTGCAGTTTTGTAAGGGTGATTTTCTTTAGCCGGTCATGTCAGCCTTTATCATGACTGCCACTTGTTTTACAGAAAGCAAATAGTTTCTTATTCTCCAGTGCAGAGTCTTTACTTTTATTTATACAGCCGCTTTATTTCATTTGAGTTTGTTTGTTCGAGGTTTTCAATAAGGTGATGCAGGTTTGGAAAAATAAAAGATAGTCATCTTGAAAGCCACATGTATAAGCTCTCAAATACTTTTTGAATTTTGTTTCTATCTGCAACAGAGGCCGAGATATCATCTTTTTTGCAAACCTCAACACTTTAGAAAACCTCAGGATCTGGGGGCCCTTCTCAAAATTGTCCTCAAGATTTCAGAGGCGTGTCTCAGACAGGGTTCAGGTCTTGATAGGTTACAGTGTGAACATGGGCTAGGCATCCTTACAAGTTTGTTTCCCAAATCAAACTATACCCCTTTAATGATGAAAACCCTCTCATAAAGAGTCCAAACTGGTTCTATGGTGACTGCATAATACACTACAAATGAATCAAACAGTGAAATAACTCTTAACAACCAATTTTTGTACATCTTGTTTTCCCACAAGTTACTTCATTAAAATATTAGAGAAACAAAAGTGAAACGAGAGACCCGCATTACTGATTCGATAGGAATGTTTAACTAGGAATACAACTCTATGTTTTGCAATCAGCCACAGAGAAAGTTGTTGTAACTACAGAAGCACTTGAGTTTGTACAGTACTGTAACAGATAGGATGTTCTTCTATCACAAACAATCTTTGATGAGCTCAGACACCAGCTGCGGAGAACACTCCAAGCAGACAACAGCTCAATTTTACCACCAAGTTGCTCACAGGATTAGCATTCATTAGCAACAGAGGATATGATCCGCTGCAGGCGACGTTTGTCATTTCAGCCAGTGAAAACAACTGTCATCACTGGGCTATAAATGAGAAGCTGTTACCCCAATGTTTTGTACGCTGCTCTTTGCTAATGATAATTAGCATCAGAGTTTAGAGGATATGTGTTTTGAACATTTTTTGCGAAGCTTTCTCTCGTATCAAAACAAAACAATTCTCACCTGCTTCAACACGAGCAGATGGAGTTGGACAAACCAGTCGGGTACAATAAACAGAAGATTAGACTTTGATTGACGTTGTTTTAGGCAATATGATCCATTAAAACATGCCCTCGATACCCATGCTCAGACTCAGCTTGGGACAGCTGTTAACTTGACATGTGCTATTAATTAGACATGAGCCTGACAAATAATCTCAAGACAAGTACTCAATGCAAAACTAACACAAACGAATGACAACTTGAAATTCAACTCAAACAATACAGTATGCTTTATTCTAGTATCATAACAAATCAAATGACCAAAACTTTTACCTGCTGCAGTGACGAGCAAGTGGAACTTATTTGGTCATTTGATTTTTACCTTCATGTCCCCTATACTGTAAGTTTTTTTACTCAGTCAATCAATCAACTTTATTTCTATAGCACATTTAAAAGAACCACAAGGGTAGCCAAAGTGCTGTACAGTGACACATAAAAACAAATAAAACAATCAAAGAACAAGATAAAGCGAGCAGAAATACATCAATGCAAAAGAATAAATAAATGTATAAATACGGAGGCTCACAGCAAGTGCTAAGATGATAAAAAATAAAAAAAAAAAATAAAAAAAATAATAATAATAATAAAAAAATTAATAAATAAAAATAAAAATAAAAAAATTAACACTACAATGTATCAAAAGCCAATGAATAAAAGTGTGTTTTAAAAAGGGATTTAGAAACAGGAAATGAGGAGGCCTCTTCAGTTTAAGCTACATTACCTTCTAACTTTTGGATAATATATGTTTGCCATGCATTTACCTGAAAACAAAGGTCAAACCAGGTAGCACACACTTATTAAGAAGAAGAAGGGTGCTACAAACTTTAATAAAAGGCTAACTACTGAGTGCAGTTTCAGAAACAAAGTAAAACGGAGGAACATTTTTGGGGTAAAAAAAAAAACCTGCATCTGCCCTCAATCACCAAACTTTTCATTATCACTAAATTGGCAACTAGTTGAGAGAGAGCTTGGGCTTTGTCGTGCTGCTTTAAATTGTTATAAAAACAAGGCTGACATATCCAGGCCAGGGCTTGACACTAACTTTTTTCCACAAGGAGCACATGTGCTCCTAAGCTGAAAAAGTAAGGAGCACACAAGGAACTTTAGGGTCACAATGAAAATTGATCAAATAATGTGTGTCTTATTGGTTATTGGTCGACATAAGTATTATTATTTGAAATCAATTTTAGGTCTTTTGGTGACATGACATGGAAGCTATTGAAGGAAAACAGCTTTTTTTGAGAACATCAACCCGGTAATTAATTGATGGTTTTTTTATTCAACACCCAATGTTGACAGCGAGGGTGCTGAGTAGATTTGACCACGCTGCTGTCGCTATTCCCGGTGATGGAGAGTGAGAAGACACTGGTAGATCTTCGGTGAATGTCCGTAGGATATCTGACCTAAAACTAACTTCACTGCGGTGTTTACATGAAATTTGCACACATCTATTTTTAGTCGCAAAAGTGAGTGAAACGGTCACACTGTCAAGCCCTGCAGGCACTAAATCAAAAGACAAGACATAACATACTGAGTGAGAGAATTGCTGGATCATGCAGATCATTTTCCTGTTTTTTATGATTGTTGTGTGGTAGTGCCACACAAGAATAACAATATCTATCATTAAAGAAATAAAAACAAAGTGTGAAAAAACAGATATGAGGTTTTGTATCTACCTCTGTAGGTCTGTTTATTTGTTCATAATTGCTTAACTCCTCCTGCAGCATGTTGAGATCCCACTGCTTCAAGTGCCACAAGCAGAATCCACACAATTTACCTCTTGAATAATTTCTGATTGATTGGGAATGAGGAAAACAAAATCGCATCGACTGATTGTGGGATATGGTGTTCTTTTGGGTAGTGAATATATGTGGAGTAAATGTCCTCCATATTTCATGCTGTCAGTTCTATTCGTGCCAGTGGCAGCACCGGTGCATTTGTGCACATTCCCACAGCCGGGAGGTTAGCATAAAGCTGTGGCCATCTGACACTTAAGACCCTGGCTGAAAATGGGAGGATGGAGGAGCAAGGGATCAGTGTTTACCCACCTGGCCAATTAGAGGACAGAGAAACCTACAAGATGGAGTCTGCCTCCAGGAGCAGGTACTAGTCGCTGTTATGGCACTCAGCAGTTGCTAAGCAACACCATCTACGTGTTATTGAGCAAACTTGTTGTGGGTATAGCTATTATATGTATAAATCACTGGTAATCTCTGCACTTCAGATAAGGTGGTGCACTTGTGTGAAAAAAACAGGATGTGAGGTCTGATTTATTCTTGCACAGGTTGAAATTGATCGCCTCAGACGGAGTAAGATCCGAGCCTGTAAATACATTTCCAATAAGAAGAAACATGATAATATGAGAGTCTCCACATAAAACTGAAAGCTATGAGAAAACATCACATTTTGAGGGAGCACAGATTTATCAGGGGGCTCCTAAATTGTCCGCCGCTTCCGATTCAAGAGATTAATCTTATGTGAAATTCCAGGTAACAGTGCATAGTGTGTTGTAGTTTGCTAAAGGAAAGATGAGCTATGGGTTTCTGTAAGGATTTGATGTATGCACCGCTTGGCAGGGGATGCAGTGTAAGCAGAAATGATGAGAGTGTTGACACATTGGCATACATCACATGGAAAGTTGTAACAGCCCGCAGAATCTATTACAAATTAAATGCCTACTTTAAAGCTATTATAGAAAATGTTATTCATGAGAAAAACAAAACGATTTAATAACATTAAGCATAATGTATTTTTTCATTAATTCCACACTACACAGCAGCTCCCCATATCCCTGTTATGAACATTTCTGTGCACTTTAAAAATCCATTTTACTTACCAGAATCTACAATGAAGGAAGAAAATGAGCAACAGCACTTAATGCTGTTGTATCTAAACTCCAACCAATTGGCAAAACCCAACTTCCAAATAAACATAACGTGATTTTATCGTGTTTATTTTAGAACTGATATGGAATCGAGTTTTAAATTAAAAAGTTGAGTCTTCTGTAATATAAATATGAATGCAAACACACTGGATTTAATGATTCTTCTGCAATGCTGCTGACAATGTGACTTTGCCTAGAGAAATAAAGAAATTACTGCCAGCATATATTGCCAACATTTTAAATTCTGGATTAATGCACAAATTTTAATATCAGAGTTGGGCTGCATGTGCATTATACAGAGAGAGGAGGGAAGAGAGCAATAAGGGCAAGTAGCCAAATGATGTCTATTAGGAGCGCATTTCCCTAGATCCCCAGCATGAAAGGTACACTCCCTTACCAATGCATTTCTTTCTGTATATGTAATTATTTCATTAAATATTATATCAGTCCTGCAGCCCACAGCTGCTCGGTTCAAAGGAAGTTTGCTATCATGGCCCGGAGCCCGACTCACACACACAAGCACACACACACAGCAACATCTCTCTCCTTCTCTTTTTTCTCACTCTGTCTTGCGCTCTCTCTCTCTCTCTCTCTCTCTCTCTCTCTCTCTCTCTCTCTCTCTCTCTCTCTCTCTCTCTCTCTCTCTCTCTCTCTCTCTCTCTCTCTCTCTCTCTCTCTCTCTCTCTCTCTCTCTCTCTCTCTCTCTCTCTCTCTCTCTCTCTCTCTCTCTCTCTCTCTCTCTCTCTCTCTCTCTCTCTCTCTCTCTCTCTCTCTCTCTCTCTCTCTCTCTCTCTCTCTCTCTCTTTCCCTCGTTCAGGCACAGTCCAGCAGTGCCAGTTTTGCCCCGGGCTGACTGATCACAGGAAGGAGCAACATTTTTGAATTCAGGGGAGGATTGAGTCACACAGTCCCAGCATCAGGCACGATGTGTTACCCGGCTTTGCTGTTTTTCACTCTTCCAGACCACTATGATTCAAATGGAATTTTAATGGCATACTTTGCTAAAACTGTATCATTGTCTCCTCCTATTTGTCTCTGGGTTTGTCTCCCGCCTGATAATGCTCTTTGTGTTCATTTCAGTGTTTGCTGAGCCGTTTCGACTCAGGTATGTCGGTGGTCTGCTTACAGAGTTTAAGAATGATCCTCGTAGTCTCAGGAATCTTACTGTGCTTTTCAGCTTTTGACCCATTAACCTAGAAGCAGCCTATTCTGTATTTGCAAATTCTACTATCCATGGTAGAGGGTCGATCAGTTCTGCTATACCAAAGTGATTTTATTTCCCTTGTAGGTTGTTCATTTCATTGATTATTAGAGCTAGAGATACTGTCAATTTTCTCCCCCAATACTCAATTCAATTAAAAAGGCTTGGCTGATACAGTGTGATACAAGTACTTTTTTCTTGCACTGACTAACATGACACTTTCTGCACCCACCAGCTGTTTGTTATTGCCACACAGTAATCTACTTGAAACTGGTTGTTTAGCACTGGACAGACTGGTTACTTTATTGATCAAAGGGACAGACTGATTAATCACTTGGCTGATTAATTTGGCCAATTAACAACATTGTGATATGATCATAACAGCATCAGCCCTCAGAAGGCTGATACCAGCATTTTTGTCTCTAAATCATAAGACATCTTTCTTATCTTCCATGAACAGCATATCAAGCCTCAAACAGTCACTGACTAGTGTTTTAATATGATACCATGTTATAATGTTTAGAAATGACAGCAATATCGGCCATGTTTAGCAATCTCTAGCATAACCCAACATCTGTGTCTTTCCATTGTTGCTAGGGCTGCACGATTAATCGATTTTAAATTTTATTTTGATTATTTGATTATGATGATGTTAAAAAATTTTAAACCGTGTGTAACTCCTTTATGGCGCCGGTGTATCTCCGGCCAAAACAACCTTTATACGCATGCTCTGTACTCTTCTTCTGTCTTTTGTGCATTTCCTCAGCAGCGTTACAGCACTACTTACTGGCTTGGCATATGCACAACATTGTTTTCAGTGGTTTCATTTTGAGAGATGATAGTGAAACTTATTAAATTGAAGTTTGCTGAAGTTGTCACTGAATAAAAACTCGAAATCAAAAATCAAGTTTTCAGAGAAAAAAATCTGGATTTCATTTTTGGTCAAATTGTGCAGCCCTAATTGTTTCATTAAAAAATCAATTTAAACCATATTACTCGCAAAGACAACCATGTATAATCAGACTTTAATATGTATTTAATTATAAAAATGTGCATGACTTTCTTTTTTATATTTTAACCCAAATATTTACCTCATAAAATTTTTCTTTCTTAACAGTTTTCGATCGCTTGACAGAAATCAAAGTCCTCTAACACAGCCAAATGTTTTTCAATCCAGGCCTGTTTTATTATCAAGTTTAGCAATTTGTATTCCAATGGTTAGTACTATTTAATTCTAGTTTTTGTAAAATGCCCCAAAAAAAAAGAAGCAAAATAATACAATGTGAAATCAGCATCATGTATTAGCAATCAGCCGAACTGCTCATACTCAGTATGAGCGCTGGCCAGTAAAAGACTGTGTTTGGTCGATCTCTGATTGGTATATTCATCTGATATGAATATCAGTATGGTGGCACTGGTATCAACATACTACAGATAAAATAATCAATAAACAGATACTTTAACACAGCTGTGCACTTGACATAACACAACACCATATCTCCTTCGCAGACACTGTATCATGTTGAGGGAATTTTCCTTACAGCACAGCGATGGTTAAAGATATTAAACACTAGATTTGTTTAACTGTTACTATTTCAGGTGGATAGAAATATAGAATTAGCCATATCCTTGACCTGTACTGTGGCACATCATGCTGCCAACATGAATTAATATGTCGGTGAAAACTCCAGCCATTATAACCTTTAGAAACAGAGGGAAATTACAATTCCTGTATTATGCAGGTATTGACATTCTCAACCAGCTGCCAGGCATGGATGAGTTGTAATACCTTGAGGAGCTCACCTATTTATATTCATAGTCGTTCCCATACAGGAGGGGGCAGTGCAGTGAACCTCTCTGCCTTCAGCCAGCACAGGGATTCAGAGAGAAAAGCATGGATAAAGTGAAAGTTTAAACCCAGGGCTTATGCACACAGAGACTGTAATCCAGACAAAATCTCCCTCCACTATCCTTGACAATCAACTTAAGGAGACGACCTTTAGATATACTTTCGGTCACATACTCTACTGTCAAGGACGTGTAAAACAAGCAACTTAATCAATAGGTAAGGGTCAAATCTGCAGCTTAAAAAAGTGAAAAAGAAAAGTCGTAGCTGATTTAACACCATCTGAAATTTCACACAGTTCCTAGCAGGTTCACTGAATGATCGACTCCCTGCTTCCTTTGTCTGCATGTTTTCCATGTTGTTTTAATGCAAAGTTTGAGGGGAGTCTTGCAAATGAGTTTCACGCGTGTTATGCAAATGTTTTCATTTTGCATGAAAATAAATTCTCCTTTTCTTTTCTTCTCTCCCACCAGCGCAGACACATGACACCCATAGATAGAAAATGGGATCTGATTCCACACACAGTGCTCTAAAGCTGCGAGGGCGGGTCATGTGTCTATAAATTAAGTGTTTGAGGACATCCCTGCTCCCTGACACTCTCTCTCTTCCCTGCCCCCATTCAGCAAGCCCACAAAGAGCCGACACTCAGTTATTCTCAACGTTTAAAAAAAACTTATCGAACATTTTCTGAACACCATGACGCACAAAGTTAATGGAGAGCTATTTAATCACAGGAACAAACAAATTAACCTTTAAATACCAGTAGGGGCATTTAAGTGTCGGTTACTCTCATTTTCTGTCTATTAGAACGACGGTCTCTCGCTGTCTCACACACAATCAACCCCCTACCCCAAACAGCCCTTTGCTGTTGGCTGCAGCTGGAAAGCGAGGTGAGCCTGTATGTGGGACATCACAGAGCTCATTAATGTGACTGTGCAATCAAACCAGGTCAGATGGATGCATCGTGCCTCAAGGAGGGATTTGATAGCCAGCGCAGAAAGGCCTTATAATAAGTTAATTAGACATTCACTTAATGGTCCTGCAGCTATCCTATCACTTGATAGTTCCTTGATAGGGTCTGGGTCTTGAAAATTGAGTGTCACAGACTAGTGCCTTATCAGTCCAATGAAGTAATAGGAGAGTCGTCATTAGGATTAGGAACAGCCTGCTTCCTGAGTTGGAATTTGAGCTTCTGAGGACGGAAGTACAACAAATAGTAAAGACTAAGACATAGGGGGGGTTTCATGTGGGGGTTCCTCTGGAGACTCTTGCAATCTGTGACCCATTTGTGTGATACTTGGAGTGCATAACAGTCTGAAGCCAAGCGCTGGGTTCACTGCAGTTTATAGACACTTGGTTTGTTTTCCGTTTTATCTGGGTGATGTAGTTCTTAACGAGAAGCTATTTTGATCCAAGATGCTATGAAGGATGAGTATCCTAATTTATTTATTTGCATACTGATGAAAATCTAAACAACTTTTTTGGCTGTATATTATATACACACTATTCTTTTTATGCTTGAGAAAAGCAGTGGAAAGAATACTAGTTACCTCAGTCTAATAAATAGTACAAATAAAGTCATCGGTGCAAATAAGTGCGTCACCAAAATCTGACTTTATTCTCGCATTCATGCTTTTAGGTCAAGATGCTCTGGGAACTCCAAATATGTGTTTCTCTCGAGATGTTTGCCTTGTGATAAACCTGAGAACCAGTCAAGGTTGTCCCCCTGCCTTTTGCTCACTGCATGCTGGGATAGGTTCCAGCCCTCCATGTCACTGAACAAAATAAATGCTTATAGAAAAAGGATGGATAGATGTAGTCACTGTAACATCAACATCTGTCTGTCTCCCTCTCTTTCCTCCTCCCATTGATGCTTTCCAGAATTAGCATTCTTACTGAGCTGTAGCACCGTCGCAAGGGTCCTAAACCCTGATACAGCATCCGTTCACAAGGGACCCGGTCCCTTTCTCCCAGCTTTAGTTTCAGCCATCTAGGCCAATCCCTCATGGCTGCTGTCTCAGGGGAAAAGCCCAGACAAAGTGGCATCTGTGGAATTACAGGAAATCAAGGGTAACAAGATAACTTTGAAGAAATAAGAGCTGCTGGCTCAGTTGTCGCAATGGTAATTATGTGATTCATTATGCAGAATACAGGGCGTTTGTAAAAGACCTTAGGCACCTTAGGAACTGAATGACAGTAAATGTAATCAATGAACAATATACAGTATGTAATAATAGAGTAAATAAGAGAATTTAGATCAGAGTTTACCATCTAACTAATGTTTGTTGTACTCTCTCGCTGATGTGAAAGCATCATATCAGCTGGTATAATAAATAGAGCTATTTCTACTTCTTGAAGGTTTTCTTCTTCCTTCCTTAAAAGGAAATTAACAGTATTGTAAAGTCCCCTAAACCAGTGGTTCTCAACTGGTGGGCCCCAACCCAAAAGTGGGTCGCGGACACATTCTGCATGGGTCACAAACAGCAGGTCAAAAAAGTAAAATATTTAATGCGATATTTATTATATATTTGATATTTTCTGTATATGCAACTTCAGTAGCTGTGGTCCTCATGTTGCCCCCTTCATGTGCTCTGAAATGCACTTTAGTTAATAAAACAAATGAATTTCTGTTAAAGATTAGAGTCTCCTTTTTTTTTTATTAAAAAATACATTTGCTTGGTTTGAATTTTATAAAAGTGGGTTGTGATTTAAGGACCATGGGAAGTTGTGGGGCCCAGAGTGAGGCCAGTTGAGAACTACTGCCCTAAACGACACAACTTTAAAAAAGTTCAACTCTTGATTCTATTGTCTTTATGTAGCAAAACTAAAAGAGTAAAAAATAACTGACAGTAATTTTTTGCAGGTCAACACATTTTAAAAGATAGTTTAATTGGTGATTGTAAATAGGTGATAATAAAACAAAAAAAGGTCAGCATATATACTTGAGCGGGCGTAAATATACCTGGGTAGACTGACACACTGACCTTTATTCAAACATAGGTACTAAATTTTAAGGGGAAAATGGAGCACTGGATCATTCCCAGTGCTGCAGTGTTTAACTTCACTGGGCAGAAGATTCAGACAATACCCCTCTGTACTGAATCTGCTAATTATTTCGAAACTGCTGGTTAAAAATTTTTCTCCCACTTGCCTGTTGCTGTTTCTATAGCCAGTTGCTGACATCTTTTTTCATCTTTTCCCTTCTTCCAAGGCCCTAGAGCTCTCTCAGTAGCAAAAATGTTCAGCTCACCTGAGACCAGTGGCAAGGTCATCAAAGATCAAGAACCCACCTGCTCCACTCTCTCTCTCTCAGGGTCACAGCAGGGCTATGCCTCTGGCAGGCAAACGGCTGAGAGCTACTTTTGTTCGAACAGATGTGTCACTTGTAGAAAAACATTTTAAAATGTACACTGTACCAGTTTTTCCCCAAATACTTTGAAAAATTTGTCACTGTCAGCTCCTAGGAAACACAGTCACCAAGAAGGTCTAAGAAGTTATTAAATCTAGTGTTGCAGTCACCAATTTAGAAACACTGCAGTAAGCAGCTCTGTTTTCGGCTTTTCAACATTTCTGTGCTCAGACTCTAGGCAGTCACTTTGCTGTGTGGTGATTAGTGGGTGATTTGAGTCCACTGATTGAAAGCTGTAGTGTCAGTAGTACTGCCTCAGTAGGTGGGACACAGTGTTCAGAAAATCTGCAGCATGCAATTGGCTCACAGTGGGTGAGACTAGATGTTAACTTACAGTCCTTTTTTTTCTGACATGAATTCAGCTCAACATTTCTGTGCCAGCTGAAGCCGAATTATGAACTGCATGTCTATCTTCGAGTATCATTTATGGCTTGCTTCATCAAAATGCTTGTTACGGAGTTATATGAATGTGGAGAATATCTTGTAGACAGCAGCGCATTATGGGCTTTGTCAGAGAATTACCACAAACTTAGTTTATTGTTTGTTTATTGTGCACGTTTAGGGAACAATTTTGATGATCAATTGAGGAGTGCAGCAAAGCACTGCTTTTCTCTTTGGCAATCCACTAATGTAAATTGAGGAGCTCATTAAGACTCATTGTGAATGCTTTGTGGTGTTATACTTTGATTTACTCCCATCAATAAATAAAATACAATCACTGCTGTGTGATTATTCTGTGATGGTTATTCTCAAGTGACAAGATCAGGCTGTTTGAAAGGTTTTGTGTAATTAGCTTAAAATGTACTTAAGAAAAGATGAAATATTCAGAGAAGTATCATTGTTTTATTTGCTGTATGTTCAGCTGTTAGAATTGCCCTAGCTGGGCAGATTTGATGGCTTCAACAAAAGTGAAGTACAATATTTCTGGAATGTTTTGCCCAGTGGTGTTTTGAAAAAGGGCCATTTTAAGAACATAAAGAGCCAGAGGGAACATCTCTCGGAGCCGGAGTTTCTTTTGTGTCGTATCAATTTCTCCTGGCATGCTGCTGTTACCCTTCTTTAGTGGTGCATAAAGCCCCCAAAAAACATTCCTTCAAGAGCCAACCTCAGGGGTTTTTAGCATTGAGTTGTAAGTCAGCTGCTGTGGGATTGTAAAGTTCAAACTGTTCCCTAATGTTAACAAAGATGTGTTTGTTGCTGGGGATATAAATTCATATATTTTGAAGCAGCATATGGCCACACAGAGAAAGACAAGCGTGAAAAAAATAAAATGACTGTTCAGATTCAAAATAAATATGAATAGAAGTCTGCCAAAAATGCTGTTTTTGTTTACAAAGGTTTAAGAATGCATATGGATTAATCATCTCCATTTTGCAAATAAATGAGCTCTCAAGGAAAGAAAAAGGGTCTAGATTATTTTTTCTAATCATCTTCTACAGTCAAACCTCTCAAGCATATCAGTCATGTACTAATAAGTGTTGGGAGTCTCTGATTGGGTTTCTGTGTCTATCTATGCAGAATACTATTTAATCAGGGGGTAAAAATCACCAACAACAAGGAAACAATCAGCATGTATGTAAGAGCCAAGTACTACTTTTGTATATGAGAATGTTCTCATCTCTGATTGGACTATTTTCAATTGATTATTCACAAACCCACTGAAAGAAAATATGATTTTTTTTCCTACTTTAAAGTTTTATTGAAATTTCATTGCTGAATGAGGACCATGTGGTTTCTTTCCTTGGCTCCACACTAAATGAGGACATTGCCCTGTAAATCTAACTGATGGTATCAAGCCTTAGCTAACTAAGTAATGTAATATTAATGAGAGACAATTAACCATAATGGCACACAGCACTTTCTGGTCTGTGTCTGTGTCGACTATTAGCTATTTTATTGGCAAAGCCTTAAGTAGA